TTTTTTTTTTTTTTTTTTTTTTTTTTTTTTTTTTTACATCAAACTCATCTTCTATTTTTCCAGATTCTTCGAAATCTCGAATTCGCCTTACCTCTCCGTAACTTCGATCGGCGATCACACATCGATCGAATGAGGATGGAATCGCGAAGGAACCGAAGAGATCGAAGAGAGGAGAAGTTAAGATTGTTTCGAGAGTGATCGAAGGAAGGAGAGATTACGGGCTCGAGAGGAATTTTAAGAAAGATTAATTCGTAAGATATGGAGATGGAGAGGGTTACGCTATATATATATATTATTGTGGGACGGAAAAAAAAAAAAAAAAAGGTTTGTGATGCCTCTCTTTTTCGTTTATTTTTTTTTTCTTTTTTGATGCCTCTCATATTTTTCCCTTTCGCGCCTCCCGGTGAACAGGCGAAATTTTTTTGACTACCATCCTTCGACGTCCTTTCTTCCAAGCTTTCCAAGTTTTCGATGTGTTTTTATCAACGAGAATCGTCGAGAAATTAATATTCGAATTAACATTCTCGTGTTATTCGAAATAACACGAAAGAAAGAAGTGAAAAATTTCGTTCGATGCTTGAACGAAGCCTCAAATATATCGACGATATTTGATAAAAATACAACGATCCATCATACGTGAGATCATACTTTTCTGATCGCGTCACAACAAGTGTCCCACTCAAGTGTTCGAAAATTTGAACCGATAATGGAGGGGGGAAGCGAGGATCAAAAAAGAAATAAAAAAAAAAAAAAAAAAAACGAAAAAGAGAGGCATCATAAACTTTTTTTTTTTTTTTTTTTTTCTGTCCCACAATAGTGTATCCAATCTTGCAATCGAGGCTACAGTTTCCGGTTATTGAATCGTTATGTAAGCGGATATGGGCAAGAGATATACGATATCGTTTGACGCTCCAATCATTCCAATAAACTGCAAACTGCCCCGACCCGATATCGTTACACACTCTTTCCCCCTTGTAACCGGAAATCCGGGAATTTAATCAACCTGTCGCCGTGAGGGAGGGAGGGAGGAAGAAAGGAGGGTTAATTTTATCGAAACAATGACCAAACGACCGATCTTTGCTCGATCGTTGAAAGTTTCAATGGCGCGAGGCCTCCCCCCTTTCTTTCTTCTCTATCTAGACGAAGAGGAAAACGAAGGTTTTCGAGGCAAAGGGATAGAACCAAGAAAAAAAAGATAAAAAAGAGAGAGGGAAATCTTACATCTGCTGTCACGATGAGCAGAGAGGATTATCGTGAGATAAGGGAAAAAGGAAAAGGTTCGTTGGACGATAATCGTTAAACGGATACCACGGGATTGGCCTCGTTTCAACTGTTGCGCGATCGCATTCCGACGTATCCCAAACCCGATAAGGTTAGGTTAGGTTAGGTGGATAAAGGGGCGAGGGGATGTTAAGCGGTGTTAACCTGGTCGTGTAATCAATTTAAAACTCCCTTCCCCCATATCGAGTCATATTTTCCCCTCCCTCCCTCCTCCTCCTCCTCCTCCTCCTTCCATTTAAGACGGCGAGGAGGACGTTTCTAATGTCGTTGTAAGTGGAGTGGAGGGGAGATAAATTGGAATGTCGATGGAACCGTGGCAGGGAGGGGGAAGGTATACGAAGATAGCGAGATTCGAGAGAAGATAGAAACAAGATAGATGGAGGCAATGTAAAAGGGGAATGAATAAGGGGGAGGGGGGGAGATGCCTAGAGGAGAGAATTTATTTTTAGAGATCTTTTTTACGCCTTGTCGTCCAAACTTTATTCTCCTTCTCCTTCTGTATCGTTAGAACGAAATATCGTTATCGACGAGACGTAGTTATTTTCATTCCATCCGCATTCCATTCGAGGGATCGTTTCATTCTTCCGTTTTAATAATTTATCACCTATCATCTCCCTCTTTTCGGTTCAAGTGGATCGGAAAAGTTAGGTTAACTACGGGTATAATTTTCTTTTTTTTAAGGAAAAGAGATACACACAATTCTGTACTCACGTTTCTGATCGTCCTCTTGAGCTGCTTGGAGGCCTTCCACCAGGTTAAAACGGCAGGCGGCTTCGATCCCGTGCTCTGACATCTAGTTTCGTATTTCTTCCCCGCCAAGAGAATCTCGTCCCTTTTCGTAATTTCAACTTTCAATGGTTTCACTGCAAGTATCCGAGTAGATATCGATCAGAGTTTCTCTCCTTTCTCCCCTCCCTCCCCTCCCTAACGAAACAAAACTTAGATTAAAAAATTTCGACGAGAGATGCAAGATAATTTCCCCCTTTTAATCCCGAACGGTGATGATACCTTTCTCCGATTTCTTTTCTTTCTTTCTTTCTTTTCTTCTTTAATCTTGCGAATAAAGTGACGAAAAAAACGAGTTACGTTATTTATTTTAAACGAGATCCCTCGAAAAAAAACTTTCGACAACGAAAGATCACGAAGAACGCAGAAAGGAAAATGGCGAGTCGAAGATAACGCGGAGGATTTTTTTTTTCATAAGAATCCGGAGAAACGATTTCACGAAAACAAACGTGAAAAAAAAAAGAAAAAAAAAACACGAGTTTGGATCGAGTCGACATCGGGCTCGCGTCTTTTCGAGCGTCGAGCGTCTTGACGCGTTATTAATTAGACGACGGGATCGCGGCCGCGGTCGGGAAACGGGTTGGAAACGGAAAAATAGGCGGGCATTAATTAAACGGGTTGAAAAGCGCGGCTCCGGCGGAGAACCGTCGTAGGCCATTCCTCGTTACCGGCCTGTAATTATCCGCCATTGTTCAACTGCCTGCCCCTTCGCGCCGCCTCTCCCCCTCCTCCCCTCCTCCTCCCACGAAATCTTCGAATCTTTTAAGCGGTGGTCGATTAACGATCGCAGCGACTCCACCACGGTCTCCTTGGCTTCGAAAACTTTCGGTTCCGCCTCTCGTTAGAAAGATTTTGATCGCAACTTCTTTCCACTTCCGCGGACAGTAGATAAATACGGGAGGAGGGGGAAGGGGGGGAAGGGAAAGGAGGCGAAAAGATTTTCCAACTTTTCCACCGATTCCCACGCGAAACTTCCCTTCCGGTAGACGGGAAATTTACCACCGCGACCTGCCTCTCCCGCTGAATATAATCATCGTTACTTCCTCTTCTCTACCACAGTATCCTCTTTCCTTCTTTTCCCCTCTCTCTCTCTCTCTCTCTCCTTTTCTTATACCGATATAAAATATCATATAATCTTTAAATTCAACGATATATATATATATATATATATATATATATATATATCGCGTAAAATCTTACCGATATAGTTCTCTCTTAGCGATATAAAATACCATATAATTTTTAAATTCAACGATATATCAACGATATATAGTTTCAGATCTATTTATATGAGGTATGATCAAGGTTATGATGGGGATAGAAGGATAGATATATTTGTCGTGTTGGTTAGTTAATTTTTTCATTTGCAAGTTTTGGGAAATTTATTTTTATTTTGAAGAGAGAGAGAGAATTTTGGCGAGATTTTCCTCGAGGCGGGGCAAAAAAGGGGCGGGGAGAAAGGAAGAAGGGAAGGAACGGCGTTGTGCGGAGGGGCCGTCACTCCGAGCCCAGTTTGAAAACTGTGTCAGAGTCAGGCGGACGCGGCGACAACTTTTTTTTTTGTTCCCCCTCCGTCGGACGTACGATTTTGATGCACTTACTGATCCTGACACGCGTTGTTTGTTCCACGAAACGCTTCGTGCCCCCGTCCAAACGAAAAGTTTCCTCGTTTCACACCCGTCTGGTCGGAAATTAAACCAAAACCGACCGCTGATTACTCTCTCTTTCTCTCTCTTCCACCTTGTCGACGTAAAAATCAATTTAAAATCGCGTACAAAGAAAAATTTTCGATGGAAAAACTTTGCTTTCTTCGTCGATCGATGAAACATCATTTCGCAGCGAGTATAATATATTTTGAGGAAACGAGCGAGGAGAAAGATGAACAGATTGGGATGAAATAGGTTGGAAAAATAGGCGAAATAATAGGGGAGAAGAATGGAGAGGAGTGAGAAGAAAGGAACGTTGGGGGTATAATTAGAAGTCGCAGAAGGGGGGAAAAAAAACAAAAACAGGCGGAAAATTAGTGTCGGTGGAAGTTGGGGGCGAGGTAGAAATTTAATTTGTAAATCAAAATTCATGTCGTCGAGGCGTACAGAAACTCTCTCTCTCTCTCTCTCTTCGTTTTAATATCCTCGCTTCAACTACGAGATAATCTTTACATTTTTCTCTGCGAAGCCCCAGCCTGTAATTCTCGTTTTAAATTCATCCGAAAATTCTTTGTGGCACGAACGCGAGGAAGAGGAGGAAAAAGAGAGAGAGAGAAAGAGAGAGGTGAAAAAAGGAAATCGGACAAGGATAGGAAATTCGGGAGCAGCACGCGTACGCCACGACACTTTATTTCAACGCGTTGCACACGCTGTATTTATGCGTTTTAATATGTTCCACGGTTCGTGGGCTTATTACTGACGAGGGAATAATGCGTCTAATGCACCGTGGAGGATGGAGGAACGAGCGGTTGTTGGAAAAAGAACGAGGAGGAGGAGGAGGAAATATAGGGGAGAAAAGGAATTGGAGAGAAGTTTAAATGGCTCGTTTGTAGATTAAGTCTGGAATATTAGAGAGCGGCCCGTGCGCGGCGATCCTGCGAATTGCCGACTTAAGTGAAATTTTACCGAGACCCACCGCGATATCATTGGAAAAACCGCAGCTCGTATCGTTCGCACCGAGGGTACTCCAATCTCCTTCAGAGATTCCTTTTTTTCCTCTTTTTCTTTTTTTTTCCGGCCGCAAGAATTTTCGAGCAGATTTCGCTAAACTTCCATCGATCTTTGTTCTCTGTTTTTTTTTTTTGCGAGCAGTGGAAATATCAGGTGTGCGAATAAGTTCCTTCCCCGTCACTTCTTACCGAATTACTTTACCGTTGGTGGCGCCATCTGAAAGAACGTTATTTTGTTTTCAAAAAGAGTCGCGACGAGCGCTCTAATAGTTTCCAGTCCTACGCAACAATTTCGAGCGATAAGTGTCATTCGGGTTACTGTTTGTTTTTTCCGTTCCAGTTTAAGAGATCGGCCGTCAAAGCTGAAATGGTTTGTGCGCGGCACTGGGAGAGAACGTGCGAAAAATCTTGTATCTTACGGAACGTGCGAAAAATCGTAACAAAGATTGAAAGCTGGAAATTTTAATTCGTAAGACGAGGATCGTGCATCGAGAAAGTTCGACGACCGTGAGTTGGAGGAAGATAAGAAGAATTGACTGGAACAATCAGGTAATCCTGTATCTGATTTACGTGATAAAATCTTCAATTTGGGGGAAAAAAAGAAGAGGGAAGAATTTATTTGCAGAGCATTAACATCAAGGGAATATCGTATATAACCGAAGTTGTTCGCCGCTTGTAAACGGAGCGAAATAATCGTTCGAATTCTGCAAATTCCGAGGATTCCGTTGTCGCGTTTGGAAACGAGCGTTTCTCCCAACCGTCGTCCCACGCGGAGGAGAGGAAAGTTATTAGGTTGGCGTAAGTTTGGTTATTAGAGGCGAAGATTTACGACGGCCGAAGTTTATTCGTCCCGAGAATGGTCGAAATCCTTCCGTTCTTAGTTGCTCCAGTCCTCGAAAAGTAACTCGGGAAGAGAATCGTATACGCGGTTACGCGGTTGCGCGACTTTTCGAAGAGGAGAAGGAGAAGGAGGATTTACAAACGTCCCGAAATGTTTCGTTTCGTTTCGTTTCGTTTCGTTTCGTTCAACACGCGATCAAGCGTTCAACTTTTCCTCCTCTTTTTTCTCTCATCATTGGTTTTCATCGTCATTATCGTTGACGAATATTGAGGGAAAAAAGGAACAAAGGGGAAAGAAAAATTCGTGGATGATCATCGACGATCCGTCAACGGGGATCGTTCGATTCTTGGGTTACACTTATCCTTTTCATTAACACTGAAACGAAAAGGTTAACGAACTTGGAGTGAATTTCATACGGAAAGAGGGGTTCGTTAGTTTTCTTACTAATTAGCGGATAGGGAAGAGGAGAATCGATTTTTTGCCGAATCTGATTTCTTTCGTAATGGAGATAAGTGGAAACGCGAGATTTATCCACTTGTTAACGACGTTCCCTCTGGTTCCACAATGCGCTAATGAAAATGAACAGTTCCGAGAAAATGTCCTCCTGGTTTAATAGGCCGTTCGTTCTCTCGGTCTTCGCTCTTTCTTTCTTCTACGTATTATATAATTGGCGAATCGTTTCACGAAACGGGCAAACGCGAGGAGGAACGTCGCTCGAGATTTCGAATCCTTATATCGAGATATTTTCAATAATTCAGAAATATGCAGATGTATACGATGCAAATGATGGCGGAACTCGAAGGTGGATGCATTTTTTGGTCGAGAAGGAAGAAGGGACGTTCGCCTCGTTACAATTTCAACCGTACAGATCGAGAATCCTCCAATTATTCGACGTATACGTTTCGTCGAATACGCCTCCAATTAGTCTGAGATTAACAGAGGCGGAGAGAAAAAGAGGGAGAGAGGGACGCTTATTTCCTACCTTTCTGCTGCCTTTCACGCGAAAGAATAATAAAATTGTCGATCGGCGGCGGCTAATTTCGCGATCCTCCTGATTAAGCAATTGATCGACACGCTTCTTACGCGAATAAATTCTAATTTCCACCTTAGTGAAATATTATTGAAAAACGATAATAATTTTCAACTCGATCAAACGATACGTGAATAATTTTTACACGTTGATGAAAAAATAAACGAGGATCGATTCGCTTCTTTCGTTAACTTACACTTTCAAGTAGATACAGATCGAAACCGATTTCGACCGATCTTTAAAAAATTAATTAATCGCTCTTCGAATTCCACGGAGAAATAAATTTAAACGGAAAGAGAAGGGAAAAATTTCACTCGAACTTGATCTTTATTATACCTTTGCATAAATTTTCTCGATTAATCGATTTCTCTCGTCACGGTTCGCGTTTACGGTTTATGGGATGAGAGTTGAAGGGGCGACTCGCGTCCGAGGAATCGATTACCGAGGAGAGGACGTCGATGTATATATATAGATGATTCGAATTGGACTCGAAAGGGATGTCGAGGAAGGATAATAGGAAGTAGTTTGGAGATCGGTGTGTTAATATCGCTTCTCGAGAGATTCAACTCTCCGTTTCTTCTTCGAGGAGACTTGACGATTATTCCCCTTAAAAATGTTTTCACGAGCGTTCGATCCGTGAAACTCTGGATCTCCTGGAAGGTAAAAGAAGGGAAAGGAAAGAAAAGAAGCGAAAGTGAAAAATTTCTCCCTTTCCATTTCTCTTTCTCTTCCCTCTCCCGAACAATATTTCCCAAGAGGCTCTTTTACATCACTCGGCTTCGGAATTACCGGTTTCGATCTCTCTTCACCCCTCGCATCGAACGAATTCGACTCGTAACTTGTTGTTGTTGTTTGTTGTCCGTTTGTGGAGAATTTCTCGCGGGATGAATCATCTCCTCCAAGATATTAATATTATATTATGCTGTACGATCTTAACCTTAACCTATATTTTGATCAACACACTTTTCTCCACTTTTATATTAATATTTAATTTACATGTTTTTCGAGAAGAATTTATTATATACGTGGACTTTATCTCTTTTAGAACTTTATCTCCAACGGAGGATCAAAAGTGTGCTTTCGAATAGAATTATAACGTGCGACGATAATTGGACGATAGTTGGACGTCGACCAAGAGAATTCTGAACAAATATCGAAACCATCGTTACGCAGAGAGAATAATTCTGAAATCGATTAAAAACCTGATAGTTTACCAATCGATTATCACTTTCAGTTTCGCTATTTGCTTTTAAAAAAATAAAATATTCGACGCTGGAGAAGCTGCAACCGAAATTTTTGATACAAAAATATATTGTTTTTCTTCCCACTGAAAGAAACGGCTATTTCGCGACGATCTAACAATTTCGACCGACACTTGCGATCTTCGTGGAATATTTAATCGATACAAGTGACGATGATCTCGATTTTCGCTTATATTGGACGTGTTCGAGGATTGGAATTGGAATCGGACGGTGCGGTGACTTCGAATTCGGAAGGAGAAACGGTCGATTGGACCCTGGTGGAAATTTCGAGCGAAAGGGGGGGGGCAAGAGGGACGAGGTCGATATCGCGAAACGATCCGAAAAAACGAGTTTAATAACGTCAAACGTCGACGATATAACTTCGAATAGAGGCGTGTACTTTCCTTCCTTTTTTCTTCCCCCCTCCATACTTTTCTTTATCCTCGAGTTTCGACAACATTTATTCAAACGATAGGAAAACAAGTTCCTCTTTTCGTCAATATTTTTATCAATCTTACGGCGTTGCATCGACACGAACGGTTACAACAATTTCGAAAGGAAAGGTATTTCGATAAAAATCTGTGGAACGATTCGATGCCGCGCGCGCGCATTCCATAAAATTGAATGGAATATCGGCGGTGGACGCGGCCACGGTTTCCAAATGTAACGTTTATTAACGACAGTTTCGAAGTTCTGATTGCCTTTCAACCGTGATTCCGCGCCCGTTGTCGAACCTACGTATCGCCCTCCCCTTTCACCTTCCTCTCCAGTTGTAATCGTTTTTTTCAAAAATGTTTCAATTTCATCTCGTCCAGATCTAACCTAACCCCCTTTCTCTCTCCATCGATATTCCCCAGGCAAGGAATTCGTTCATTTCCGGCCCTGAATCATCCTCGTCGAAGATTAAATTATTCCACGTTTACGCGATACGATATATAATCCTGTAACGTGAAATATCTCGAAAAAGAGAAGAAGAAATGTTGCTCGTCGTTTTTTTTTTTTTGTTCCACGCGACATTTCGAGGAAAAAGACGAGGAGAGAGAGAGACAGAGAGAGAGAGAGAGAGAGAGAGAGAGAGAGAGAGAGAGAGAGAGAGGAGGAGGGGAAATGCAGTGTGGGTCTCGCGTGGATAGGCGTGTCTCGGGTGAACGAGTACAACGAAATCTGGCGGTGGGTCAAACGGTAGTAGAGTTTCAGAGCGGAGCGATCTCTCCTGCATCACGGGTAATTAGCTTCGTTAATTATTGATCGTTTCATTAACATAACCGAGTTGGCTTTCACGGCTCGATGAAGGGACAAATTGTCTACCTTGTTCTTTTTTTTTTGCTTTTTTTTTTCCTTTTTTCTTTTCTCTTTTTTCTTTTCACGTGGAAAATCTTTCTTGGATTCTTTTATGGATTCAATTGTCTCTGATTTTTTTCCTTCTCTTCGTCGATCGATGTAAATTAATAAACATTAAGGTGTATTTCGTAAACGAGCGGGGAGGACTCACTGTGAAGCTCGATGACGACGGCAGTGGTGGGGGGCGGCGCTAAATGAGTATTGTTCGCCTTGCACAACAATTTGGCGTGGTAGTGACTCCTCGTGAGACCCTTCAGCGTCACGTTGCTTATGGTCACGACGTTGGCTTCGCCTCCTGGCCCTTGGCTCTCCCGAATCTCCGACGGCGCATCGATTGTCTGCGACTCCAGCAGCCACGTGACCCGGGGCCTAGGTTTACCTAAATCGAACAGACAAGAAACCATCTTAGAAATCGTGGTTAAAACGACCGGTGCTCAATTTGCCCGATTCCTGTCTTCTGCTCGAATCGCTTAATTGCCTTAATCTTTGCCCGGACGAAACTGTGGGCAAGAAACGAAATTTGCCAACGTACGATGAAAAAACGTACGGGTACGAAAAGTTCAGAGAATCGTTTATTAAAATTATTTTCTTTGAAACGGCGATTTCCATATTGTTTTCAGAATCTTCCCTTTTGTTTTTCCCAAGTTCCAATTTCATCGATACGATAGATAGATCGTGTACTTTGGCCAAAAGGGAGTATCGTTTCTTCCCTTTACGAGGAAACGATAGGTTATATTCTCTGTTTATCCGGGAGGAACGTTTACGGAACGGAAAAGCGTAAGTGGAAAGCGTTTACGAGATAATTAAATAATTTTCGAGGGAAATATTATCGACGAGCACGATTGGAATAATCTTGTCTATTATTTTTCTTCGTGTCCCAAAATTCACGTAAGAAGTAATTTCGATTACAGAAAACACAGGTTTATAATCGAAAATTGTAAATTTTTTATTGATCCATAAATAGCATATCGGGTAAATGGCCTTCACAGCTTTGCATACGCGCTCTTTTGTTGAAATTTTCCATCACCATAAACGTGGCTCAATTTCCTCCTTCGAGACGTGGTAATCGTCGGTATAAACCTTGGACATTGAAAAAACCTCAAAGAAAAAAGTCCAACGACGTTAAATCGCACGGCAGACAGAAAAACTGGATTATCACGTCACGATAGCGAGCACCATTAGCATGCATCCCACTTAAACAACGACACTGTGTTGTGGATGCATTTGTTTTTCAACGATCTCACTCGTGGATTTTGCGCCATCGTGACACAATTTTCATCGATTAACCGATCCATCAAGATGAAAACTAGCCTCATCAAACATGATTTCGTTCGAGAAACCTGTCACGCTGTCCTTTTTTTCTCTTTCGTTGGCAACACTTTACCGCACGAATGGCGCGAAATTCAAGTCTTGTGCGAGCCCTTTACACATCCAATTTATCTTAAAAAGAAGAGTGCGGTAACGAAACTCGGGACAAAACTCGAGATTTCTCGAAACAAGCCAGTGTAATCCAGCCAGAACTTGTAGGTTACGTCCTCGAGAGACGTAAGTAAACGAAACAAAGGCCGACCGTTCGTCAGTTGAACTCGAGCTGCCCGACTAATCCGAGTGAGCGACGTATTGAGAGACAAGGAGAGGGGAGATAGAGAGAGAGAGAGAGAGAGAGAGAGAGAGAGAGAGAGAAGATGGCAGTCGTCAATCACGTCGCTCGCTTGTCTTATTCGGCCGATCTCGGTGTAGACTCGGCCCGACGTCTGCTCGTCAATTTATTGGTCCCGATGTACCGTTTGCGCGCCACAGACCTAATTCCCACGGTTAATTACTCGCGTAAATTTGTCTTTTCTTGGAAAACCGATATAAGGATCGCACGACGCCATCTTAATACCTATTACGATAGCTCACGATTGTGGTACAACCACACAATTTTCCGACGACTGGCTTTCAATTTACCTATGAAACTTCTAACAATTAAATTTTCCCAAAGAAATTGGATTTCCCTACAGGATTATTATTTACAGAATCATGTCGCTTGTGTGAATTTATTTCCATTCTTGAATTCTGAAAAAGAAAAACCTGCCAAGTGTCATTGTTATTCGATTTGTATACGCCGCATTGTGAATGCGTGGTTTCAAGATGGAGGATTCTGTTTGTGCAACGCGTGTGTTTCTTTTTCTTTCTTTTCTTTTTTTCGGCGCGGATGATGGGCATGCACGAGGGCCGAAACAACAAGTTGGTCGGGAGAGGAAGTTATGTTGGTCGGGGAGAGAAGAGGGTTAGACAGACTAGTGTTGGAAGGAGAGAGGGAGAAAATCGAGGATGAGTGTGACACGCTCTCAACTTTCCCCGCTACTGGCGGGGAATTATTTCATTGCTGTATCCCTGAGAGTGGAAGTGGAAAAGGTGGAAGTGAGAGGGGGATCTTTATTGCTCTCCTAGCTTCCACCTGGTATCATGGATGAGATATATATATATATATATACTTCGTGAAGTTGAGTACGACTCGGTCCTAATAATGGCGTGCCTCGAGGAGAAGGAATATGGCAGAATAGAGTTTTACGAATTTTAGCGAATTTTCTCCACCGTTACATTCGTGCGAGATGATTTCGTTTAGAAGAGAAATGGACTACGCGTGGTAGTCCACAATTTCGATTCTCAATACGAACTATTAGAATTATCTCGTGGGAAAGTTCAATCGAGCTTCTTCGCTTCTTCGTTCTAAATTGCTAGAATTTCTTTCAGTTTGTCTGTTCTTTCGGTTTTACGAGCGAGGGGAAAGGGCTTAAAAAAGGCGGAAGAGTAAAGAACGGGGGAAACAATGGAGAGGAGAAACACGGCGAGCACGGGGAATGGAATGTAGCCGCGAGTCGCGTTTTAAAACACAAAACGCTTCACCCTGTAAAATTACTTTCACGGCGACGTGTTTGCAACAATGCGGGCGAGGATTACGGGAAAAGACTAAAGACAACAGTTGCGCGATACACGATGAATTTCATTCGCGTTTTCCAAAGGTTTTACTTGTTATAAACGAGGCGAAATCTTCCCGTTTTCTCGAAGCTTTAATGATTCATTCTCACCTTGCACCTTTGACTCGAATCTCGTTCGTTTATCGATCTATTCTTGCGAAATCTCATCTCAAAAATCAGCACTTGAATCGATTCAATATTTATTTATATAGAATAGATTCATAAGCTCTCTACGTGTAACCTTGCGAAGCGTGGAATAACATACCGTCGAACGGTTAGACTTTTTATCTCAAATTACATCGCGGATCAAATTACACTTTCAGTGTTGGTCCGAGTTTAACCGAGTCAGTGGGAATAGAAATATTATTTTCGAAGTTTTCAAGTTTTGTAAACATAGAATATGGGTGAAATTAGTTAAGATGAGTTTGACTTTTCGCTATTGAATAATGAAATTATTTCTATTCGTTAAAAAATCGACGATAGAGGGACGGAAAGTAGCGATGAAAATAAAGAGAAAGAAAATAGTATAAGGTGAAAAATAAAAATAATAGAACGTGAATGTGAGAACAATAACGAAATTATTTCTATTCGTTAAGAAATTGATGATAAAGAGAAGGAAAATAGAGATGTGATATAAAAAGAATATATGAATGAATAAAGATAAGAATACAGATTTTAACATTCGATAAATTTTCTTCGTAAACATACACAAAATATTGGAATATAAAAATATTTTACACGTTAATTCGCGCGTGAAATCATTATCTAGTAAGAAAGTTACGGTTAACGGCTACTGAAAATCGTGTGGAGTTGTTGAAAGTGGCAAAATGGTTAAAATATCGTTTCGCACGGGGGATAGAGAAATTTCGATTCGAGCATTCATTCGAAGGAAAGAACGGTTTCGAGAACGTTTCGATTTCCATTCTCTCCCTCCTCTGCGTTTCCCTCCCGCGGATAAGACGAGGAGCCACGAAAAGAATCTTGGTAGCTCTCTGGGGTTTATAAAATTCCAAAATTCCGATCCCTTTTGCTCCCCGTGAATTTCCCGGAAAGAGATCCGGAGACGCGATCCTCTCGGTTTCTCCTGCAAAAACCGAGGCACAGTGCAGGAGAAAACGAACTCGGAAACACGGAATTTTTGAAATTCAACTACGCCTCGTTGATTTCTCTTTTCTCTCTCTCTCTCTCTCTCTCTCTCTCTCTCTCTCTCTCTCTCTCTCTCTCTCTCTCTCTCTCTCTCTCTTTCTCTCTGTTTTTCTCCTTTGTTCGTTTACATACGACTTACAAAAAGAAAGGAAAAAAGAAAAAAAAATTTTTTCGACTATTCCGCCAAAAGTTTTCGACAAAATATTTTTCTCGACACGACGGATGCTTGGTTTCCCCCGTTCCTTCGTTCGAAAGGGATTCTCGGTCGCGGGGTCGGGCAACGAAAGAAACGGTGGAACGGGTCGACGTTCAAGTTCATCCAACTGATTTAAACTCGTGGCCGGAACGATCCCTGTGCTTCTCCACGCCAACGTGAATACACATTCTTCGCGGAGTTGTTCTTATGCCGAGTAATCGCTTATCTAATATTCTTTCTATCCATTTTATCCCCTTCGATTAAAAACTTTGTTTTATCTTTTTAACTTTTGCACTCTCACTATTTTCAACGTCTTCAATCATTTTCCATTTTCCTTCAATAGTTCCAGTTTCCTTCAATAGTTTAAAAGCTATATTTTTTTCGTTTATTTTGACATTCATACCGTTCTCCGGCTTCGCATCGAATCGATTACATTTAACACAGGAAAGTATTTATTATACCTAATCTATTATTCGCGTTGTGCGGATGACGTATATCAGGATTAAAGTAGAATAACACTCTTTATGTTCTCTATATTCTAGATTATATCCTCGTGGCCAGAAAAAATCGAGAAACGTTTGCGAATCATTCATCCCCCCGTTATAACAACGTCGAAGCGAACTTCCTTCCTATACTCCTTCCAGGAAGAATGGTCGAACGGTGCAAATACGTACGTAAATAATTTCGTACGAAATAGCATAGGAAACGGAAGCTCGTTCACGGTCGATCGAGAAGACGTAGGTTTTTCGACTCCTTACGGGATCAGCAATTTCTTCCTCCTCTTCTTCCCCTTCTTCCTCTTCTGAGCAAGGGAGAGTCTTAGCGTAAACAGCCAAGAGTTTGAATCGTGGAACCGGAATACCGGAATTTCGTGCCGAGTTCCGGGGACGAGGAGGAAGAAAATACAAATTTATCGAAAGTTGCGTCTCCTCTCGCTTCCTCGTCGACAGAGTTGCTACCATCCACTCCACCTGGACGGGTCACGGGGAGGGAGAAAAGTTGTTGGGCCGAGTTGAAAATTTTTTTTTCCGTCGTTTTTTCTTCCGTCGAGTGACAGATCAGTGATCCGGAGGAAGAGAGTGGAAACGGAGACGGCCGCTCTCCACGAATCGTGGCAATCCTTTTCGAGGACCTTGGGAAGGATAGAAAAAATTCCCTCTCGTCGAATCAAGGGAGGGAGGGAGGAAAGTTTTCAACTCGAAGTTAATTTTTTCCCGATAAGATAAAAATGCGATAATGAAATATTAAACGTTTTCCCAGCGAGGGGGAAAATTTTTGTCGAAATTTTCGCCCGTTCGGAAAAACCTCTCAAAAAAGTTTACTTCGTCGATCAAGTATAATTCGCGAAAAAATACATTTTTCTTTTTTTTTTTTTTTTTTTTTTTTACGTTCCATGTATCAACGTTCAAGGGTGCTTTCAACTTTTATTACATTTCCACGAGAACCGATCATGATGGAGAGGGGGAGGGGGAATCGATGGCCGTCGAATTATTCGAACAATTAAGCGTTCGATTTTTGTTCTCTCTTCTTTTTTTTCTTTTTTCGCGTTCATTCTTTCTCGATGGTGAAGTGATCAACCTGGAACGGACGATTTTGATTCTTTGAAAGTCGCGCGACCGTCCGCATCGCAGGGAAATGGCGGCGGTCGAAGATTGAAATTGGCGCGGATCCAGGGGATCCGGTCGGGCGACGCGACACCTATCAGGCGAGAAGTCGTGGAAAAATCGCGCTGGACTCTTCGACGAGTCTTTCCCTCCTCCTTCTCCTCCTCCTCCCTATTTCATTTTGTATTTACTTCGAATAAGCGAACGCCGGCTGTAAATGGGATTGGCCCCGCGCCAATGTTACCCGCGGTATTCAAGGAAATGGGATTTTTCGTCCGACGCGCAAGAATTCCGAAAGTACGCGTATGCGAAAAACCACCTCTCGTTCCTCTTTTTTTTCTTATGCCTCCTCCTCTTCTCCTCTTCCTCCTCCCCCCACAGAGGATAATTCCACGCGCCTCCACGACATAACCGCGTGAAACTCAATTTAAACACGGCCCGATATTCGTATCTCGTTCTGTCTTATCTATCGCAAAGCTGGGCTTCTTTCGATCGACGTATCGACGAAACCCAAGGAGACGAGACGAGAGTTGGAGTTTTCTTCCCGCTCCCTCTATTAAATTTCCTCGCTTCCGGAGAAACGAGTTTTTCCGGAGAGAGAGAGAAGCCGAAGAAACTACCAATCCTCCTTCTCTTCCTCGCCCAGTTTTGAAACTGTCCTCGTCGTCGTCGTCGAAAAGAGTTTGATCGAGTATGACGGATGTGGAGAAGGGACAAGAGGCGAAGCAACAAGCTTTTCGCGTAACAAACGATCCGCTATTATAATAATTCATCCGTCTAATCAGGCGGAAGCAATTTCTGGCGGCCGATCCGTTATACCTCTCGTGTTATTAAAGAGGAAGACTTTTTAACCCTCGAGTGGCTTTCTCTCAAACATTAGGATCGATTCGAACGACGATGTTTGTTACGTTTGATTTTTTTTTTTTTAAATATCGTGTTATAGAATTTAAAGTTCAGTGAAATAATTTTATTTGTGGTTTTATTATTGAAAGCGTTGTCAGCAACACCACTAATTTCATAGTTGATATTTATTTGTTTTTCGATACATATATTTCAAATATTTTACAAACAGATACGCGCGATTAATTAATATATATTTATTCAGCTATTTATTTACATTTTCATTTTATTTACATTTTATTTGTTGTTTTCACTGCCCAGTCAACATATATATTCATATAGAATAAATTCCTAAGGCTCTTCACGTGTAACCTTGAGAAGCGTGGAATAACCGTCGAACGGTTAGACTTTTTTTATCTCTACATCGCGGATCGAATTACACTTTCAATGTGACCGAGTTTAACGGTCACTGGGAATAGAAATATTATTTTCAAAGTTTTCGAGTTTTGTAAGCATACGGTAATGAAATTAGTTGGAGCGAAGATGAGTTTGAATAATGTAATTTGAATAACGAATTTTCGTTATAATATATAACGAAATTATTTCTATTCGTTAAGAAATCGACGATAGAGGGAAAGAAAATAGCGATGAAAATAGAGATGTAGTATTAGAAGAATATAGAATGAATAGAAAATAAGAATAATAGAAGTAAATGACAATAAGAGCATATTATTGGGATATTAGTTCAAGATTTTTTCGTTATTGAATAACGAAATTATTTCTATTCGTTAAAAAATCGACGATAAAGAGAAGGAAAATAGAAATGTAATATAAGGACTTTAATATTCGACAAATTTTCTTTCTTCGTACGTAAAGACACATAAAATATTAGAATATAAGTTTTACACGTTAATTTATGCGTGAAATTATTTTAAATTAGCTAAGAAATTCGGATGCAGGAAATCGCGTGAAGTTATTGATTCGTGGAGTACAAAGAGTTAATTTTCAAATGTATAAAGAATAATTGTTCCGATGTAACGTCCAACAATTAAGTTATAGACATAGAGAATTAATCGATAACTATTTTCAATAGTTGAGAAATTTTTCAATAAATTTTTTTAAGAAGCATTTAAAACTTCAATTTCGAACAGTTCTGTTTTAATTTAAATCGTTCCATAAATTATCAATAAATTTTTTTTGTAAATTAAATTTTAAGAAATTATTTCGCATTAGAAATTCACACGATGATTTGTCAATGATTTTTCGACATGTTCGAGCGAAAAAGATCTGGAGCGAGTTAAAAAAAGAGTTAAAATTAATCGCCAGACACTATTTATTATTTTTCTCTCGTAGCAGGTGTTACAAATTAGACAGATCGCGCACACTATCTTTTTTTTCTTCTTCTTTGCTCACGATAATATTTTAATTTTAATTTATCAACCGCTTACCTCCATGAACCTCGCACACGAGAAACAGATCCGCTCCTTCTGGATAGGCCTCGAGAAGTTTGCTCATATCTCTCCTTTTCGCGTCGTAAATGATCGGCTTGGCCGGTGGCACTGAAAGAAGAAGAAAAAGAATGGAGAAGGACGAACCGGAACGGTTCGATCGAAACTCGAATAGAATCGAAGTTGCACGGATAATTCGGGGGGAGGAGGCAACGAAGGGGAAGAAACGATTTCTTAAGGCGTACAAGATGTAGGTCGTAATCGTAGACCGAGATTACGCTATGGATGGCCTGAGGAGCGCGCTAATACCCCCCATTCGCCGATCTTTTATAGCGCGTTTCCTCCCTCTCTCCTTCCCTTCTTTTCGAGCCATTTTGTTTTAGAATTCTCATCGAACCGGTCATTCTTCCATCTCGCCCCAAATCGTCCCTAAGAAAAACATCATTTTTATCGTTTCGAGGTGAACGCTCAATTTTTCGTTTCTGAATTTCGTCTCTTCCTCCTCCTCCTCGTCCTTCTCCCCGACAAATTTTACAGTAATCGATTCTTACCCGGCTTTCTTTGAAGATCGTACGAGATCGAAAACGCGCGTGCAGCCCCATCCCAAAAAGCTTTCTCCACGTTGTTTGCCAAGGTAAAGGTTTGCCGGAGGATGGTACGATTTACGCGTGTGTTTTCCAAAGGAGGAAGAGCGCGTCGCGAATCCTTTCCCGAATCCTTTGCACGAAAGGTGAAAGGTGAATGGAGCAAGGGATAACGTATGCGAAGCTCGGCCAACCAACCAACCTCTGGAAAACTTTTACGGAAATTCTAACCGACTCGTGGCGGAAGACATGAGTCACGAGGACGAATCTTGTCTCGTCGGAAGGAAAGGTCGTAAAGGATGGAAGCGGCGATCTCTCTTTCTCTCTCGCTTTTATACGTGTATCGAATCCCCTCCGGCGAATTTCGATCGTAAACTTTTATATCGCGGCGGAGTTACGTTTAAACGCGTGGCCTTCGAGAGATAAGAAGTCACGACTTGCTAATCCCACGACTAAATACCCTATGGACTACTTACCTGATTTCGATTTATATATATATATATCTGCCAATCACTCCCCTCAAATCGCGAATAACCTCTCTGAAAAAGTCGGGCGAATTTCGAAAGTGACTCGAAAATTTCTAGCTGGGATCTCGTAAAAAAAGAAACGATTTTACCGGCCGAGCAACTGAGATTGGAAGCGAAAATGATCCGTGGAAAATGGAAGGAAGTTTATTGGCTCGAGAGAGGAAAAAACGAAATTATCGAGTTCTTGCGTCTCGACGCTTCTCGTTTCTCTTGGAACGTGTCGAAACGATACGTAACCGCGTTACGTATCATCGAGCTGTCGTTCCATGCCAGCCATCCAACCGGCATTTGTTCACCCGTGCGTGTTTGTCCATCTCCGTGCGAACGAATATCCGCTCGTACATACCGACTGAGGTTGCGTACAATGCATCGACAATATACCGGCTACAGAGAAATATATATATATAGATATAATCGGGCACGTATAGCTATCTTCCTCATCCGCGATGCATCATTTGTGCCATGCTCCCCTATCCGCTATCGGTTCCCACTAAGCATACACTTTCTTCCTTCTCGCAACGGACGTGGACTCGTTGCAAATCCAAATTCGAACCGAATTTCCTTGATCTTTTACACGATGTGCGACGATTTTTTCATGCTCGAACTTTCTTTTTCTCTCTCTCTTTCCGTTGTTATCGTCAAGTCGCGATCCCCCCCTTTTTTTTTTATTATTTCCATTTCTCGTCTTTACTTGGAAAAATGGTGGTTGGAAAAATGTTACAATCAATGTTGGATTTGACAACCCGTCTTGGATTTGACGATTTGAATTCGTCGGTTGTTGGCTTCCAGCCGATTTATCCCGGAAACGGGTTGATCCATCGTCGGGAATCTTTATCACCGAAAAATTGCACCGGTATATTTGTGAATTATTATATAATAACGATAAAAATAGTATCATCCGGGAAAAGTATTATCGAGAACGTCGCGTAAAATGCTCCCGATATTTCAGGAATTACGAACATTGGCTATACCGTTACCCATATTTTCGGAACGGTATTTTTATCGCTCGCGTTACGAACGATTGCTTGCCATCTTCCTTTTTTTTTTTTTTTCCTCTCCTCCCCCTACGTTTTCGCGTATCGATTAAATATAGCGAGAGTCCGAATTGACGGGAAGCTGAACACGATACGCATACATGTGTTGTATACGTATAACACTGGACCGATTCGATACCAGTTATGGTAATAAAGACAAATTTTTTTTTTTCATCCCCAACGAATGTTTCCACCATATTTCTACCAAACGAACAGCAGTTCAACGAAATTTTTATTTCGATCGCTCTGAGATTTATCTGTGTCTGTCTCTCTCTCTCTCTCTCTCTCTCTCTCTCTCTCTCTCTCTCTCTCTCTCTCTTTCCTGCTACGTACAAGAATAATTTTCCCTCGAAATATCGTTGAATCGATACATTATTGGAGAATATTACTCTCTACTCGTGTTCTAATCTTTTCCTAAACTCTCTCTCTCTCTCTCTCTCTCTTTCCATAGAATTGGTCTATCTTGCCGCTAGTTAGCTAATCCCATTGGCCACGCTCACCCTTGCAACGTTTTGGAACGAGTATCTCCCTAGCCGAGACCCGATTCATCGACCATGAATTCGGCCAAAAACGAGGAAATTACACGAGAGACCTTGCAGATTCGGAGGAGAGGGAGGAGGAGAAATTAATCCATATCTCGTTAATCCGATTATCTTTACTTTCTCCGCCAAATTTGCTTCCTCGTTCTACCCAATTAAAATCGCTTGCGCTTCAACCTTCCCTCCACCCAATCTCTTTCTCAACTTATTATGTATCACCCAACCGACAAACACTTACCCGTTTTCCGTTCACGTTGGGCGACGGCACGTGAGCAACAAACGAGAAGTGGGCCAATCGGGTTAGTCGCGGGAGAAAGAAGGGGACGGGCGACGAGAGGATTGGTCCGCCAGGCTAAGAATATTTTTTGCATTTGGCACGCGGAATATCTATGTATCGAACGTTTCTGGCGACGAATTATATTTTTTCCACGGGGACGTGTGTACGTAAGCAGGTGCACGTGTGTGCACAGCCACTCCTCTTCGTGACTCGAGCGTCGTGTGCGTTATACACGATTATCGTTAAAAATTTTAGGAAAATTGTGTCTCGGAACACGTGTTCGTTTCTCGAAATGTTACGTCACGTCGAGGATGCGCATGCATGCATGCATGCATGCATGCACCTCACGTATTCCTCGAATCCGAATTCCGTTGGATTTTTTTTTTTTTTCCTTTCGCCCGTAACCCTCGCGACAAGAGGGTTCCACTCCTTCCCTTCTTTACCAACCGAGTTTCGTCGGATCCGAGATATTCTGAAATACCGATATAATCGAGCGCTCGTTTCGAATTCACGATACACGCTCGAGGAGAGAATTTCTGTTCCTCGAACGGGAGGGAAAAGTTATCTTACCGCGGATTTCAAGTTCACGACGTTTTGGACGTATCGTTCCGCGGGAAATATTCGAGCTCGAAATACGGATAGAAATACTCCAAAGAGACTTTGTATAATAAATAATCCGAGATAAAGCGATTATCCATTCGCTCGCGTTGTTTCGTAAATCCTTGTACTAGTTTTTTTTTTTTACTATTACTCAGGATTAATTCAAGCGAGCCTCTTAATTAAAGAAACTTGTCTAGAGAGAGTTCAGAGAATTCGAAAGAGAGAGAGAGAGAGAGAGGTGGAATTCTGAAATGGAAAGGACCGTTGCGCAAATTATGCTTTCCTAGAGTTCATCCTCTCGAATCGTATAACCGTTAAGCCTTCCAGCGTCGGGACGCCTTTTGCCGTCTGGATGCCCGTCCATCCACCCTCGATGTCGCGCCGATGGAATTATTTATCAAGACCGAGGGGACGCGACATTCCAGTTTCCGGTAGAATTAATAATTTTCCAAGAGTCAAGACTGGGCCGACAAAAAACACGTACAATTTCACGCGAGGGAGGAGGAGAAGGAGGGGGAGAGGTGGACAAATTATTTAACGTGGCTGCATCCTTTGTCCTTTTCCCGTCTTTTTGTCCCGGAATTTCCACTTTCTTCTGTCCACCCACGTAATACGTGTCGTCCGCGCTCTTTGTTTTTCGCTCGCCTCTTCCAAATACACATATACACACACATATATATATATATATATGTATTCCACGCCAAAGTAGTTACCATGTATCTCACTATAAAATGCATTTAAGAAACGACATCGAGAGAAACAAAATTCAAGAGCCATTTTCTTTGCCACTGTATAAAAGCTTCGTATAAATATGTAAATAAGATTTACACGATTTCCATTTGTCCTCGTTTTCCTGTTGGCTGAACTGTTCCTCTCTGAGAGAGAGGGGGAGAGAGAGAGAGAGAATATTCTTAAATTTTTCTAACGTTTCGAAATTTGTCACGATGTTTCTCGTGTTTCTTATCCTCCCCCCTCCCTCCGACGAGCTTTTCGAAAGAAGAAGATTTGAAACACTCGTATTTCTTCTTCTCAGAGATTTTCAAAGATCGTTATCCTCGATCGTCTTCCGTTTCAGAGAGATACAATGGAAGAAATGTGAAACGACAAATGTGAATCGTAGTTGACAGTCCCCATCCTCTTCTCGATACACCGCAGCGAAATTCAAAAGCTCGTTAAAGCGATCGTTAAACGAGGGAGCCAAGTTCCAAAGTCTCTCTCTCTATCTATCTCTATCTCTATCTCTAGTCGCGCCTATCCAACAAGCGCGATCGAGCACGTTTTGCAGAAAGGTAATTAACTTTCTGCGAAAATAAACAGGACGGATGTTCGAAACTTCGTGCGGTGTTGCCGTTCTCGTATGCGGGAAGAAGAGGGATCCCCTTCTCGAATATGGCGTTCATCCTCGAACTCAATTCCTTTTCGAAATTTTTTTAAGTAAAATTGGCGCGAGGGAAATTCGCGTGAATTGGGGATCGAGGCGTTGAATGGAAAACCGCCGCGTGGCAGTTTCGCAGTTTTCCGCGGAAATTGGATGTTTTCGAACGGAGGGA